TTTTATAGTGATTCAAAGTCAGGGAAGGGTTGTTAAGGGATGGCCTCTTGCCACAGGGTGGAGTTTTGTTATGGTATCCTTTTCGAGTCTGCAGGTGTTTGGCAGGAGCTGAAATCAGGGCCAGCTGTGATATTTCAGCTCCGATATTTCCCTCCCCATATTTCTCAGAAGTGATACATCAGGATGATGTCTTACACCTGATGTACTCAACTTGTGTGGTATGACTGTAACTGTTGGGGGGGCATGGGGGAAGTGCCACTGCATGGCTTTCCTTTTATTTTCAGCTGACAACAATGATATAGTAAAACTCATCAACATGAATGGATTTAATATAGTAAAAATTTATTAAACTGCCCATTTCTTATGGGTTGTTTTGTTGCTTCCTGTATATGCCAGTATTTCTTATGGGTTGTTTTGTTGCTTCCTGTATATGCCAGTATTTAATTAAAGTAAGAACACTGTATAAAAGAATGTGGAAAGAAATTACAGTGAAAAAAAGGGAAGAGTAATGTTCTAAAGAAAAAAAATAAACAAAACAAAAAAAACCTTCAGTCGCCTCACTTAACCAGCAAAGATCTTTGGTCTTGCACACTTAACTGCAGTACAGTGCGTACCTGTTTTTGTTTTGTTTTATCTTTTGGGAGAATTTGAATAGTTTCTATTAAAAATGGTATTCTCTTTTAAGTTTGTTTTGTTTGGAAAGTCAAACCACATTGTATTTCATACACATATTCCCCAGGGTATGTTAAATGGGACCATACTGAGGTCACTCATAAGATTTTTAAATGTTTTAAGAATTCTTTTAATGTTTGTACTATCTTGGCCTGGTTAAAAGAGCACATTTTTTAAAAATAGTTTTTAAAAGTTCCACTATATAAATTTTCATTAAAATAGTCTATACTGTTCTATTAGGCATTTGTAAGAACTTTCACAAACATTCCTTTCTCCCTCATATTTTTAAGAAATTTGTTCCCTTAACTAGTCAGTCTCCTTTTTCTCTCAGACGTTTTCTCCATATATGCACTAGTACACGCATACATCTCTCCACAGACTGATTGACTTACCAGTACAAATGTCTGTGGTACTCATTTTAACTTTACAAATGAATAAAAGATTATAATCAGTGGGAAAAGTGGATATTTCACTCCATTCATGGAAAAACAGTATCACCTGGCACTCCAAGTTAGTTGAAATTTGAAAAAAGAAATTTCCTGTTTTTTGGCAGCTCACTTGGAGTACAACTGAAGCTGTTAATGATATTAGTGAAATGTCCTGGGATCAAAAAATATGTTGTTTTATCTCAGTTTATAGAAGGAGTTATATAAGCCACTCCCAGCCTTCAGAGCTCTGTGGTCCTTTTAGTTAAAATAAAATTTGAAAACACAACCTGCCTGTAGCTAATTGAGTTCCATTAGACCATTTCAATAATCTCCTGTAGTTGTCTTTCCCCCAGCTTCCTCACATGTGCTTCTTGACATCCCTTGCGTTATTCCAGCCTTCTCCTAGGATTTCTGTCTTCATATGGTACCAGCCTAGAGCACCCTAGAGCACTGACAGCTGAGCTGATATCCATGCACTGCATCTTGGTCACTAACAGTGCAAGATTACACTTACAATGAAGGGTGTTTCTATTATGGATATAAAAATCCAAAGATCAAAGAGGAAGATAATGACAATAAATGAAGTAAATAAAACATTTAGATACAATCATGATGGTAACACACAAAATTGAAGATGTTAGCAAAGCCTGTGTATTATTAGAATTAGATAAAAGTTGGGCTAAATTGAACTGTACAGGGTTTGATGTTTTTATGGACTCTTCACAATGGCTGAAAACAAATGGCAATGAGAAGCAGATAACTCTGCTATGGTCAAACAGTGTTATGCAAAATTAAAGAGTTTAACATGTCATACAGTATCAGTACGCATGGTTATCATATGCAAGTTGAGTGATAAGTTGAGTTCTTTCTTAGAACTGCAATTTCTGATCTGAACTGAGTATGAGAAAACCACATTATAATGGGAGCACTGGGAAGAATTATTACAAAGTTTGGGTGAAAATCTGGGTTTGGGTTTACACATAAGAAAATGGGTGGATTGATGAGTAGGTGGATAAAGAATTGGTTGGATAGTCACATCCAGAGGGTATGGGTCAATGTCTCAGTAAGACATGATATTGGTGACAAGTGGTGTCCCTCAGGGGCACTTACTGGGTCCAGAGCTATTTAATTTCTTCATCAATGACAGACAAAGGGATCAAGGGCACCCCCAGGAAGTTTGGAGATGACACCAAGCTGAGTGGTGCAGTTGCCACATCTAAAGGATGGGATGCCATCCAGAGGGACTCACATGTGCTTGAGAAATGGGCCCCTGGGAACATCACAAAGTTCAACAAAGCCAAGTCCAAAGTTCTACACCTGAGTCAAGGCAACCCTCAGGATCAATATTGGCTGGGGCATGAGAAGACTGAGAGCAGTCCTGCTGAGAACAAACACAGGGAGTTGGTGGATGAGAGGCTGGACATGAGCCAGAAATGTTTGCTTGCACTCCAGAAAGCAAAATATGTCCCAGGCTGCATCAAAGGAAGTGTGACCAGCCTCTCAAGAAAGAGATCCTCCCCTTCCACTCTGCTCTCATAAGATCCCATCTAGAGTATTGCGTCCAGCTCTGGGGTCCACAACATAGGAAGGAGCAAGTTGGAGGAGTCCAGAGTGCAGTGAAGTTGATCAGAGGGCTGGATGGAGCACCTCTGCAGTGAAGAAAAGCTGAGAGAACTAGGAATGTTCATCCTGGAAAAGAGAAGGCTCTGGGGATTCCCTGTTGTGGACTTTCAGTACTTAAAATGGGACCTAAAGCATTTTTAGTGGGACCTGTAGTGATAGGACAAGGGTTAATGATTCTAAACGGAAAAAAGGTCAATTTAAATTAGCTATATTAAAGTTTTTTTGCAATAATGGTGGGAAAACACTGGAACAGGTTGCCCAGATAGGTGGTAAATGCCCCATCCCTGAAAATATTCAAGATCAGGCTGGATAGGGTTTCTGATCCACCTGATCTAGTTGAAGATACCCCTGCAGATTGCAGGGCTGTTGGAGTAGGTGACCTTGCAAAGGTCCTTTCTAATTCATAATATTTTATGATTCTATGAAAAATCTTGCTGTGATTAGAGTATGTTCTTGTTGATGGATGCTGGTTTTCTCCTATTATACCTGGGATTTCATAGTTCAGAGGATACATAGATTGGAGTCTCTCGGGTGCTAAACTTCTTCCCCAGTCAGCCTTTTTTTTACCTACTTCTTTCAAACTGAAAATACCTGTGAGAAAATGCTCTTTCAGAAATGAAATAAAGGTATAACCTACAGCTATGCACAAATATTGGCATTAAATTTCCAATAGCAATGTCCAGGTGCCATGTATTTTAGAGAAGGGTGTAGAAAAGAAGGCTTTAAAGCAGTTTCATGAGGAGGAGATTAGTATGCCCCTTTACAGGAAAATATTCCAAAAAAACATGCCATATCTAACTGCAAATCACCATGATACCTTTTATAGGTCAGCTAACTACGTTAAGCAATAACCTGCCATATACATAAAAATAATATATATATAAGTATAATAATACATATGCGAAAAATGTTATTTAGGCAAATTCTAACAAGACCAAGGTCGCCAAGATAACCTCTTTCCAATTCGGGAAGTAATAGTCCATGACATATAATGTTTTAAAAACAGTCTCTTTCAGAGTAGACTCAACTTCTTAAAATTCGCAGCATCAAAAAAAAGCACAGAATATTTTTCCAATGTTGCCCCAAGTAGAGCCAAGTCTGAGTAAAATAATCTTGCTGTATGTTCTTCAAAGCTCAACCTTAATCCTTGTGAAAGTTATGAAGTGAAAAATTTGGCCTATGCATGCACTACGGCACGATACTACATCATTCTAAGGAGAAAGAGTGTATTTATTCAATAAAGACAAGATTCTTTCCCCACAGTCACCTAACAAATATTATTTCATGCCTCTAAAATACAATAATATTTATAACAAATATTTATTATAAACGTATTCTTTTATGACAGGGATTGCTTTGCCTGCTCTTATTTTCCCAATGGAACAATCACAGTCGCAACACTTCTGACAACAGACACAGACATGTACAAAATCAGAAGAATAAACCAAAAGAGTCAATAAGCAATCATTTCTTCTTGCTATTCTCTTTAGTAAAAATCAGCTTAGAGGAGATTCATCACACACTAGAATAGCCATAAAATAGTCAGTTACAGTACTCAAGACAGCATAATTCAGTTTATCTAGGGCCCTTTAACCCATCCTAAGACAGAGAGTAAAAAAGCAGGGGAGGCATCAGGGAATATGAAGAGAATATAACTCTACAGATACTAAAATATAAAAATATTGTTTCTAATTAAACACAGGTCTAATCCAGTGTAATATTTAACATTTAAAATAGATACATAGATGAATTGTTTTCAGCTACTGAAACCAGGCGAATAAACGATTAAGATTCTTTCTTTATATGGATTTTGTGCTTCATTTTTCTTTTTCCAATCAAAATGTTGCCCATTTTTTTTAAACAGAATTGATTTTGGTTATCCATACTCCAGACAGAAAATTAGTTCTTTTGGTGTCCCAAAAAAGGTGCTTCTCTGCCTATTTATGTGATAAAACGCAATTATATACACTATATCATGATTTCTTTCGCAGCTTTATCAGGCAGTTTTGAAATATAGACTCTCTATGTGAGACATGGAATATCTATGGTTTAATTTGTTGTGGCAAAATCTGAGTTCCCAAGCATATAATTCATTTAAAGATCTGTCTTTATTTCTTAATATGACATACTATTGGCTGAAACTCAATCCATCATAAACCTCTCAAGTCCCATTTTAAGATAGCCAAAATCAGGTCTGCGTGGCAGGAGGAGCAATCATTACTCAGCATTTGTAGAAGACGTGTAATGATGTATGGAAGAGACTTGGAGAGGACCAACCTGAGGATCTGAGAAGACTTGCTGCATGTTGTTGATCGGGCCATATGGAACCCCGCTCCCTTCAAAGAGCTGCAACCACTCATTCGTCGCTTTTTCTGAAAACCTAAGAGCAAATAAGAATGAATGTGGTTTCAACACCATACTTTCAGATTCTAAGGAATGTATAGCATATCTCCTTCCTCTCTCACTGCTTCCATGCTCCTTCACTGATTTTTTTCCCAGTCAGGGAATAAAATAACAAAAATGTACTGCCTATGTTCTTCAGAAATGCCAAACCCAAAGGCATAGGGGAAGAAGTATCTCTGAAGTGCCTTCCATTTCTATCTGATCGTCTGAAGCAATGCAGGAATGATGTAAAGCTAAATTTATCATCAGTTTCAAATAATGATCAATGGGTTTCCTCCCTTCCTTAATTATACTAATGTACTTCACATTTGTTTTCCATTATGTACATACTTAACAATAAAAAGATACAGTGCAAGTACCATACAATACTGGTCATTAAAAGCTGATGTAAAGCATCATCAAAAACATACATCAGGATTAAAAACCACATTTTTTGATCAGATAACAAGACTGATCACATATTTATTTGTTGTATGGTTGTACAACCTATCCTAAGGACACCCAGTTCAGCATATATAAACAGTGCCTGTATGCTGAGGAACACATTGCTCCACGTCTCTGTATCACATGCAAAAAGCTCATTTTATTTCTTTCTAAGCATTCAGTTTTATATTTGGTAACACTACTCTATTTCCCTGTTTTGTTAGATAGATTTTCTTTCCTCATCTGCCTACTGAAGTTGCATACATGAAGAAAACACACCATTGAAACAATACCAGTCACTGAGAGATGGTATTTTTCTGCAGCTATCTGGGATTCCAAATAAAAGGTGAACTTACTTAGAGATAGTATTTTAAATTTCAGGAAGATAAATACCACAAAAGCCTACCAGCTTATTAGAAATCAAAGACTGATTTCATGATATACCCAACACTGAAAAGAAATTAGATGTGATTTAAAGACTTGACAGAAATTAAATTAATAGAAACCTTTAAAAGGGACACTCAATTACTGGTATTCTATAGCTACCAGTTTGCTGTTCAAGAGTAACTTGGAACAATGTCAGTAACATTCAGTTTTACTTTTAGCACAAAATATGGATGGCCCTTCCTCAGAGATAGAAGTCTTATTCCTGAAGTCAACAAACAATTCTGGAAGAAATGTAAGAAGCAATAAAAAATGAATAAATAAATCAAAATAAAAGGCCTTAAAAGCACAAATGTATTATAAAATGAAGCAGGACTCATGAAGATATGAAGCACAGCATAGCTCCTAAATAAAACAGATATAAGAATACTGCACAGTCTAATGATATGTAATGTACTTCATTGAATATTAAAGAGATTTCAGGGTAAAGATGTAATCAGCCATAAAGATAGTGCTGCTGTTGAACCCATCTAAGGTGTACGCAATTTAGTGCTCTGTTGCAGCCAAACCTAGAACCAGGTACATTGCAGGAAACTGGTGGGAAAAGTAACTCTAGAGAAGCAGATAACCTTCCTTCCTCAGTGTCTGCAGCTATTAAGAGACTGCAATTTCAGTCTAAAATACAATTTTTATTTCCCTGTTGTTGTTCCCTCAACAACAATTCTCATAATCTGTAAATTCTTGTTATTCGTAGCCCTCTATTATTAAGGTTTGGGGCTCATACCACTGCACAATGTAAATAAGATTAACATGCAAATCTTTTTCCCTTCAGTTACACATGCTGTTTATATAAAACTATGCTGTTCTCTGCTAGCAACGGAGATGCTTCATATTTCATGACCCAATAAATCTCTTGTTGTAAATGGAAAACTTTTTTCAGCTACTACTTTTTGACACTTCAGATTCTACTATCTCATTTTTAACAGGATGGGACAGCTGCAAGAGGAATCTTGGACTCAACTTCATAACCATGGTGCCGAAGACAATCACTAGGAAATTATTGCAATTCTCAATGTATGTATCATATTCAGTTGAAGTGTTAGTAATGAATAAGTCCTGCTATGTTATGTTCCTGCATTTCTCTTTAAGAAAGAGTTTATAAATATCTTCCTAAAAAACCCAAAACTTTTGCATTTAAAGGATAGCCTGAAAATGAAGTCTTTTCAATGGGAGTATCTATAATTTATATCTCTATAACCAGTAGGCTACTCCCCAAAGTTGTGGTAAATCTGAATAATTTTCAAGATATATATTCTTTTTTAGTTACACCATTGTGAGTGACTCAATATATTGTGGAGTTGTATACGTACATTGCAGAACCTTTGTATATGTTAAGCAAAATTTCTGTGATTCTATATTAATTTCTACAATTTCAGATTATGCTTAGGTTTTTCTGCCCTATGTAACAGGAAAAAAACCCAATAACACAATTTTGTAGAAAAAAAGAGATTGTCTATTATCCTCAAGGGACACACACAGCATTTCCTCTTGAAACTGAAACTCTGTATCTAATTCTGATGTAAAATAGCTTCCTTTATTTGTGTTAGAGGCAGGCTGTTGAGAGCATATTTTTAAGCAAACTGTTTAAAACCAAAACAGAACATCACCACTGCCAATAAAGGTCTAGTATTCAGATTTTGAGAGCAACAGCATGCAACTATTTTGCTCATTCAACTATGTTTTATGTATTGAAACATCTGCTGTACATCATTAAGGGAGAAATACTGTTTCAAAAATCTGATAAAAGATAAGGCATGGATAAAAAATGTTAATTTTTACCTCTCATGTCAGCTGTACAAACTTCAATTTATCTTTTTTTTTTTACTAACCTGTATGTATTATTCCCTCAACTAATACAAACTGTGATAATACTTACACAAATAAATACCATAACCTTTACTTAAAGTGAAGGCCTGATGTTTAGGTTGCTAAGTATCCATTAACAATATGCTCAGCACTCCAAAATAACAAGAGAAGACCCTCAGCAAAAGCTTCCAAGTAGAAGATTAACATTCTCTTCTGAAAAATGAAAGCTCTGTCAGCAGGAATTTAGAAGGTCTGGCAAGTCCTTTTTCTCTTAACACATTTTAAAATGTGTATGCTTTTTCCTTGTTTTTAAAAAATATTCTACTTTGTATATTTTTCGGTTAAGAAGAAATTATTGACATTACATATACACACGCATAAATGAAATCACTGGGATGGAAACATACGAGGACAACAATGGTTCATCTTCCAAACCTGAACTAGTAGGAAAGAAAAAGAATCCAAGACTGTAGAGCATCCTAACTCTCAAACATGACACTTGACTGCAGGAGGGCTCAACACTGTTCACACTACAGCTTCATATATTGTCAGATGAGTCCCTTTTCCTGTAAAATTTTCCATCTGCTACATATATATATAATCACATAAATGCCCTTTAAATTATCTGTGATTTATTTGCAGAAATATTTTAAACCTGTAGCTTAGCTTTCTGCAATCACTACCAGTATTTTAGAAGTTAAAAAGGATTTTCTTTTTACTGTACTACTTTGTGATATGAAGCTAAAATTCAGGCTCTTTCTGAAAGCATCTGTGGGAAAGGAAGGATATGTACCCCAAAGAGGAACAAACCCATTCCTAGGACTTCTACTGCAAAGCCTGAACTGAGGTTTACTTCCTGAAGAGGTCAAAGTCTCCATGATGACTAATTTGCATTTTAAGCAATACTCTAAGCCTCCTCTGCACTGAATTACACAGCACTCACGACGATACTGAAGTTGCAGTATTGAAATGAGGCATCAAATTCTGGAACATTTAACATTAAATACATTTCATGCTTTAAAACGTCTTAAGAATAGAAAGCATGGCATAAGCTGAAATAATTGAAATTGGAAGAAATCCAACTAAATATATTTTTCTTCAATTAGTAAATCTAGCAGGCATCATTAAATGAAATCATCTAAATTTAAACTGTACACTCAGCAAATTCATCAAAAAACATTACAGCACAATATAAGAAAAAACCTCCAAAAGGCAAAAAATTAAATATAAAACAAAAAAGTTTTACACCTTGTTTTCTTACATAAACTACAAATGAAGTTTTGCTTCTTAAAAAGCGTGATTCCCTTCTGCTTTCTAACAAATTTTAATTAAAATAAAAAAGAAAGTAAGAAATGGATCTTTACATAAAAAACATAAAAAGAATGTCTGCTTGTGCAAGCTAGATGAAATGGTTTTAATGAGTTCATGTATTTTAATAGTTCTTGGGTGTGTTTCTAAGTTTCTCATCCTGATAATTGTTAAAGTATAATTTGCTTCTTTTTTTTTAGCAATATTCTGTCTTTCAATAAAACAAAAACTTAAAAAGCTTGAATGAATCCACTTTGTGTGTATTCCATTTTCTATGTTTCCTAGGAAACCTTCGATCCTTGCTACGTCTCATGTGGAAGGGTAACCATGTTTCTCTAACAGATGAAACCATCCAATTCTACACAAAGTAAGTTTAGAAGATCTACTGAAGAAAAATACTGCTCTTTTCTACAGAAAACTAATGGCAATTAATTTAGAGAAATTTTTTTGGACGGCTACCAAATACAGATGGAACAGCAACCTCTAGGATTAGTAAGAGCCTTTTATGTGTGGTCAGTCACAAAAAGTTCTTCTGTTCTTGCTAAAGTCCACAATAACATTCCTGTGTTTTCTAGCATAACCCAAATCTGCATCATGGTTTTTGTTTCATTTTGTTCTATCAACAATCTCTTCACTCCCAAATACCTACAATATTTTCTCTCTTCACTACCAAACACCTCTTTAATTGTAGTTAAATGAGTAAGAGAGTTGGTACAGTTTCTTACAGTAGCATCTATGGAAGACACTATACAAAACAAAAGTCCTAGAAAATATTTGTTTGGAAAATTCAAAGAACTGATCATTATCCTTTAGTGTACAGTGAATAGTGTTTTCAACAAACACTAGAATTAGTGTTTTCAAAGTGAATATTACAGTATTTACTCCATAGTCTGTAAATATCTCTGTTAGTGTCTACTCTCCTGTTACTAGTGGATCACTGGGAAAACCACAATGGACAAAATATTAAAATATTTGGGATCAACATGATTGTACTGA